TGCCCACGCTTTCTCCGACTGCGACACAGTAAGTTTAATATTCATGAAGAGAAAGAAATCTTTGTTAAAAATTTTTTCAGACAGATTCAAGTACTCATGAGATAATAAAAAACTTTTTACGCTCCGAATTCTTCAGAGAAAGACATTGAAACAGCAAGAGAAGCAATGATGTTAAAGCTGTTCAAATCTAAGCTCAAAGCTCTCGAAGAGTCGCGAGTTGAGAAGTTTGATAGTCTCTTCGAGAAATCGTCTGCTATTAATTTAGCTTCACTACCACCGACTTCAGGCGCGACTTCAACATTTATGCAGAACATATCTGCAAATGCAAATTTGGTTGGACAATTCTTTAAATCCTGAGGAATGAGGCTGGAAGAAAACAGAGACAATGTTTCTTCCAGTTCGAAATAGTTATCAAACCAGGGTATCTACAAATCATGCAGGGTATTTACGGTTTTTACAGTGATGACAGTGATGATGATAATGGAAACACTGAAGAGATTGAAGATGATAATTTTACAACTAAAACAACAGAACAAGTCCATGATGTTCCTAACTCTCTCTCATCAACATCAGACGACCAGCCATTATCAAAACGCAGAAAGAACAAGTTATAGATTTAAATGTAACAATTATAAATTTTCATTTGGTTCTAAGAATAAAAATCATCCATTTTATAAATATTGTTAATTACTTCCAAAATTTATTCCCTATCTCCCGATTTATACATTTTTTCCGACATAAAAATAACAAAAAATAGTTAATAGTGGAAATAAAAATAAAAAACTGCAATAGTTGTAAAGTTACAGCCATTTGTTTGCTGACAAGAGAAGTCAACGCTTGTACTTAGTTATACAGAAAATTTATAAAATTAAATAAAAAATAGAAAAAAACTTTTTTTACCCTATTGCTGCAGATTGTTGTTTTTCTTATTTTTTTCTCTATCGAAAAAAAAATTAAACAGAAAAATAACAAAGTGTTTAATAAACAAATGAAGAAATTATTAATAATTTTTTTTGCAATTATCTAGAGAAATGCAAATAATGCTTTTTAAGAAAAAAAAATTCTTAAATATTTATTTCAATAATAGTTATTTTAAAAAAACGATTATAAACAATAAGATATTGTTTTTAAAGAAAAAAAATGTTTTAAATCATTATTTCTTCAGGCTAACAATGTGGTATTTTTTTTAAATGTTTAATTAGTCCATTTGTTTATATTTTTTTTATTAATAAACAAATGGCATAAAAAATAATAAAAATTACAGTATGATGTCAAAGATAGAAAAAAAATCATGACTGGCTTAAAATTATTGAAAAAAAAATTGTTTAAATATTATTTCAATTTTTCTATTTTTAACATTAAGATATTGTCTTTAAAGAAAAAAAAATGTTTTAAATCATTATTTCTTCAGGCTAACAATGTGGTATTTTTTTTTAAATGTTTAATTAGTCCATTTGTTTATATTTTTTTATTAATAAACAAATGGCATAAAAAATAATAAAAATTACAGTATGATGTCAAAGATGGAAAAAAAATCATGACTGGCTTAAAATTATTGAAAAAAAATTGTTTAAATATTATTTCAATTTTTCTATTTTGTTCTCTATCTCCCGATTTATACATTTTTTCCGACATAAAAATAACAAAAAATAGTTAATAGTGGAAATAAAAATAAAAAACTGCAATAGTTGTAAAGTTACAGCCATTTGTTTGCTGACAAGCCTAGTCAACGCTTGGACTTAGTTATACAGAAAATTTATAAAATTAAATAAAAAATAGAAAAAAAAATTTTAACAATAAGATATTGATTTTAAAGAAAAAAAAATGTTTTAAATCATTATTTCTTCAGGCAAACAATGTGGTTTTTTTTTTTGAAAAATGTTTAATTAGTCCATTTGTTTATATTTTTTTTATTAATAAACAAATGGCATAAAAAGTAATAAAAAATACAGTATGATGCCAAAGATGGAAAAAAATCATGACTGTTAATATCTGAATTTTTTGTTTTTTTTTTATAAACAATTAGTTGTACAAAAAAAAAATTAAAAGCGAGACTTTAATACGGCCAGCGGCGCGCGCATGCCGAAACTGCAGCGCGGGAGCCTATTTTCATTGTTAAATAATAATTATAAATATTGGTCCTACGATTTCGGGAGTCGAGAACTTCCTAGCTGAAATTTCCTATTATCGTTAATTTTTAACATTAGGAGTGGGATCGGGCTTTATTAACACCGATAGCGGACTGTCGACTTGTGTTTTGGTAAGGAAAATCCCTTTGCTTGTGAATAAACAAAGTGAACGATCGTTGTTTAAACAAAAACAATTGACGATGGCGTCCAATGATGGTTCAACTAGCGCAATTTTATTGGAGTTAGGAAAAGTCTTGAAGTCTCAAAAATCTAGTGACCAGGTAGATTTCCAGTATTTTAGATCCGAAAGTAATGATTCCCGCAAATGAACAGTGAGTGACTTCCTACTTTAGTCAAAGAACCACAACGTGCGAATCTAAATACCATTCTTATGAATTGGAAACTTTGGCAATAGTTCCAGCTGTCAAAACATTTTTGCACTTACTTACTTGGTGTGAAATTTGACGAATCTATATGGAAGAAAATGGTAGTGAAGAAAACCTAATACAGTAGCTTAGAAATGGCTATGCAGAGCTTTGTATGAGGGCCATCAGAAACCTCCTTGGTTGAAATCCAGATAAACTCCGGATAGTCGAGCGGACTATGAAAAATACAGTTAGTTCTAAATATTACAACGCAAAAATGTACAAATAAGATTCAAGCCTTATTGAAAAAATTGTCGAAAGACTTGACACCAGTTCGTAATCGTAGTTTGGACAGACATCGTGTAGCTGAGAAGTTTGTATCAAGTTCCGTTTTGGGTACCAGGAACCAAAAGGTGACTTCGTCCTAATGTATGAAGTTTTGCAGTGTCTAGAAAATGAACGGTATGAAATTAGGAATAAGTACAAATGTTATAACCAACGCTGCTAAGAAACAACTTAGAGTATGGCCCCTACAATGGATTTAATTTAGTGATATGCAAGGGATTCTGAAATTCATGAAAAACAAAAAATGATTCTAATGAGAGTCAGTTAATCTGTAATTATTTTTGAAGTCTTTTTTCTCCGTTTTTGCGGTATGCACCAATACATCCAATTTGATTATCCTTTTTGACCTTTGTCTCGTAAGAAATAAAACCAGGTGGTAGATTGCGGTCTGCACCAATACGTCCAATCTGATTTTCCTTTTTGACCTTTGTCTCGGAAGTAGCAAAGCCAGGTGTTAGATTGCGGTCTGCGCCAATACGTCCAATTTGACTATCCTTTTTGGCCTTTGTCTCGTAAGTAATAAAACCAGGTGGGAGATTGCGGTCTGCACCAATACGTCCAATTTGATTTTCCTTTTTGGCCTTTGTCTCAGAAGTAGCAAAGCCAGGTGTTAGATTGTGGTCTTCACAAATACGTCTAAATTCATATTCTCCGTTTTGGGTCTTTGTCGAAGCCTAGGGGAATACTGCGGACTTACTGACATTAAAATTACAGATAGATATCTGTCAGTGATATTTGTTGCAGATTAAATTAATAAAGAGTGAGGCATGGAGAGCGTCACCAACGTCAGTATGGCCGTGTTAGAAACCAGCGGACGATCAGTTAAATTTATTTATTGCTGGATATTTTGCGATATTTGTTATGAAAGCCGCTTCCAATCAAAGAGAGTGGCAGCCGACGACGTGTATCTGAGGATAAGGGTTCACAGATGTCTTTGGGCGCAAGGGATTTATTATCGGGTGGTATGAAATATAGAAAAGCGTCGTCGGACTAAGATTCTCCCTGCTCGGGTAACTTGCCGCTTTCGTTTCGTTATATGCGTTGAATAAAAGTACATGTTATTGGACTGTATACGCGTTTTTAGTTTTTTATTATCGTTAATTTCTAACAATATAATGTAACAATGTCTTCACCTCGACATTTTTCTATAAACTAGTATGAAAAGAAAATTTAAAGTTTTGTGACGTAGGTAATGAAATTTTGGGTAGAATGACCCAAATGTAAGGCTAACATCCTTATTATTATCTAAAAGTACAGAATTTAAGACCCGAACACTTTCCAAATCGTTTAGAATTTGGCCGGATTCTCAACCACCAAGATATTTTGGGCTGACAAGGTAACATTTTTAAGAGATAAAGCTTTTCGGGAGTAATGAGAATATTTTGCCAAATGCTTCAATCCGAATTCAAGGCCTATTTTTAATTTTTAATGAATAAATAAGATGGACAGGCTAAACAGCGTATTTTTGAATTCCATTTTCTTCAATATCAATGAAGTATACGTTTTTCTTGTAACAGAAGACAACTTTTCCGATTTTATAAGAAAAAAGTCTAATACTCAACCCACAAGAATACAGTTTTTTTACCTGTACCCCCTAAAAGGTACCCCACTGACCAAAATTTGACCTTTATAATTTCCAAATTAGATTCAGCATGACAAAATTAGTAAAACGCTAATTTCAAAACTTTCTCTGAAACTGTTTCGGAAATATTAATAAAAAACAATTTTGTATTAGGGAATGCGGTTCGCTAGGGGGCTTTTCTCCACATCTGTTTATTTAGAAAAGGAGGGCTTATTTTGTACATAAAATATGTATGTTATTTTCGGGACACCATATAAAACAATAAATTTGACACTAACTTCAGGTATGTCTGGATGTACCGCTATTTAAAAATATGAATGATGCAAAGAAGCTTGCGTTTGGAATACCGAGTAGAAAGAGTATTTTATATATAAATACACTATGGAAATTAATGATTAATTGTCAATAGTAAAATTGAATTAGGTTGACAAAAAATAAAAAAGTTAGTTATTTTATTTCAAATATTGTCTGTGGATTGCATTTGCCAAAATTTGTGGAATGGAAACAACAACCTATTTTTCCTTTCTAGACAAAACTAGACAGGCTAGGGCCATACCAAGGGAAAAAAGACTAAGATAATATACATAATAATTTATTTTCACATAAAAACAAAACACTTGCGTATCATTTAGAAAAATGTAAATTAGCTAGTTTATATAAACAATAAAATTGTATAATTTGCAATAACTATTTATATTGAGAATTCTAAAGTAGTTTGTTATTACACATTATAATTTCTAGAAAATTGGGAGTTAAGTACACCAATGGCTAAGTCGATTATAAATATAATTGACCAGGAATAGCAGTAAAATTGGTTTTTCTGTGTTTAACCTCTATAAGTGAATTGATTTTACTAAAAAAACATTTTATTTAGCGACAACATATATTTATCGGGTGTTTACCAAAACACAACAAAAGTTTGAGGCAATATTCTCCAAATTATTTTAATAATAAATTGGTGATTCTTAAGAAACCGTATAATTTGAGAGATTTTCTTACAAAATTACTGTAAATATTTTCAAATCAAGCTCACTGGAGGCGAAAAAGGTCATAGTGCAGCAACATTCACATTACTAAAAATGACTGGGTATTGCACTAAGCAGGTCGATCATGGGAATAGACTTCGATTTTTGAAAAGCACCAATTATTCATGTTTTACAAAAACCGTGTATACCATTTAGGTTTATTATCGTTTTATGTTCTTTTAAAATAATTACATCTTCTCAAATGATTTGCCTCCGCAAATTTAAGTAGTTCTATGGCACATATGCATGCGGGAAAGCATTGGCAAGACAAGATGGAGGTGTGTGACTCAGTAGTTGGTATAAAATATCAGTTTAGTTTATCTACATTTTAAAATAGTAAAATCAATTTTAAAAACATTTATGTCTACAAATTTGAAGTGAAAATCAGATGGTCGACATTATTGTCACCATGGGCTGGTATAGAAACTCCTTTTTATGAAACCATAATTTGCACCATTTGCACGTGAAATTTTTTAATTTCAGAATTGTATTACTTTTCGAATCTTTTTCTCATTCACAAGTATTTAAGTGTATTTAAGTCTAATTACTAATCATTATCTTGGTGTGTTCTAGACCGAGTTGTATCTAAGTACTTTTTGCAAGGTTTTGGTGTTAAAAAATCGAAAAAGTATTGTTGCGAGTTTGAAAAAAAAATTAATTAGTGAAACTCAAGGATTTATCAAAACCGACCGAGACACTGACATTGATAATCCAAATATTTAAAAAAATACAAACCCATCACGACTTAAAAAAGAGCATTTGTTTCAATGATATAAAAAGTTGGACACACAGATCTAGATTACATGTTTTTATTTCCGGCAGAATACGCCAAAAAACATTTGCAGTACATTAAGTATATCAATAAAAACAGATTGGAACATCTCATATATATTTTCTATTTTCTCGATAAATTTCGGTACAGTAGAAAAGTGTTCTAATTTGAGGCTGCTTTTTGAATGTTTCGCCACTGCTATATTCGTTCTATTTGTTGGTAGCGTAACAGTTGACGTTTGTGTGCCAAAAATATTGTTGTGTTTAGTTGTGGAGCCGTATAAACATGTATTAGAAACGGTCAGAACAATACGGAATTCGGTAGAAAAAATATTCCATTCGGTTTAATAAACTTCCTCAATTAAACTTAAAAACTTAACTTCGCAATATTTTAACTACACTAACAGTAATTATCACGAGACAAATAAATAGAACCCCTGCCAGTGTCGAGACATTCAAAAAGCAACCTTAAATTTGAACACCCTTTATATAATATTTGTAAGTAAAATAATATTTGTACTTGCGATTTTTGCTCACATATACAACTGTACTATACCCAACACGCGACACTTTTTGATAGCAGTGCAAGATAAAAAAAATATTTTCACTACCACTTGACACTGGGTAAAGGACAAAGAAAACAAAATGGATGGTGGTTTCTTTGACAGGAAACGTTGTAAAGAAAATATGCCATTGTAACATAATACGGAAATATATAACAACAATTTCAACAGAGTACTTGGAGAACTAGATATGGTATTAATAATATTCATTATTTGGGCAAATTTTACAGCATCTTAGTACGAAAATGATCCAGTTCTTCTAATTATTATAAATTTGGCATTAGCATTATATTGAGTTTTTCGAATAACTGATAAATATTTTTCTATTTAGAAACAAAATGGAACAAAATTTTAGAAAAAAAAAGAGAGTGCATACCAGGAGAGTTGAGATTTTATTATTAAATTTGAAGTATCGGCGGTATGTTCTTAGACTCTACTCTAATATCAAATTTGAGTGAAAAAACATGTATCATTATTATTATTATTATTATTATTATTATTATCTTTAGGTTTAACACCGAAAGCGATCAAGTTGTTTATTATGGTAGATTATTGTACATAAGTTCTTCTCTTTACATCTTTACTACTTAAATGATGATCATGAATCTACAAACGAGAATATTGTCCAGAAAGTTCGTTGAGGAAAACAACAGGACAATTAAAACAGTATATGTTTCCCGAAGGTCAAAAACCTTGTCCCAAGAAGAAGTATTAGTAAATCAGTTGTGATGGTGATATGTGCGTCTTTTTTTTTGGATGTACGCGCAATCATCAACAGCTTGAAAAAAGGGGCAAGGGTTTCCATAGTGCGTAGTTGCACTATGCACGAAAAAACTAAAGTTCAGAAAAACGCGTATTTTAAGATGACAATAAAATAGTTATATCACAGCAAGTTTAAATACAAAACGGAATTAAAATGATTAATATAGCAAAGAAATGTTTTGGTAATATCGGTGCAATTATTTCTGTTCTATTCACAGAAATGATATGATGCATTAAAGTAGCGTCTAACAGTGCCTCTGAGCGCAAATCAGCTTTTCCAATATCCTTGAAGTACAATCCAAACTGTAACAATAATTTTCCAAAACAATTATTAATAACTGGAAGTAGATAGACACAACTTCGCTAAAATTTCGTGTGTGGGCGAAAAAGTTAATCCTCTTAGGAATTGCACATTTCTTGAATTTGAATGCACCAAAATTACAATGAGATTTCATTTTTGCCAATATTACCATTAAAACTTTGAATGCAAAATGGTAACGATTACGTTACAGAAAATTATTAAAAGAGCGTTAGTTCCAATTGCATGTCTAGTTTTACAAATAGCAGGATAAAATATCGATGTTTAACATTTTCCAATAATTAGTATTAATGGATTACTCATTCTAGTTTCCTGAGGGCGGAATACCACCTGCTTTGGTCGTTCCCCTGAAAAAAATTGAGCCAATAATTAGTTATGCAAAAATCCATATAGCTGCTTCAGCTACGAGTTTTAGATGAAAAGTCAAGTTGATTGCTCATGGTGTCATTTGGCCAATGTTTAGTGTATGTCGGTCAAGCGTTGCAAAGTTTCCTAAATTCATGCTGATAAACAGGCAGAAAGTTTTACATTTTCATTAGATCAACAATGGTATTAAGGTGTTCTATAGTGGGCCTAAAATATAAAATTTAATTTTATATGTAACAAAAAATTGAGAAGATTTGGAATGGCATCTACATCATCAGATCACAAACCTTAATTCAAAATTCCAGTAAAATGTCTACAGTTACTTTGATCAAACTACTCTAATCTGTGCGAAGATTATGAAACCGCTTATACAAAACAGACAGTGAATGTTTTTTGTTTCAATTCAGGCAATTTCAGTTTGAAGTCAAATAAAGTGCATGAAAAAAGTTGACATTTTTGGTGAAATATATGAAATATAAGCACATAATTTACAAGTAAAAAAGAAAAGTTTAAATACCTTGATTTACGATTCCTGTTCTGAATTCCTTTTTCAGACCCTTGGTTAATGCTAGATTGCCTGCTCACCACAGGGGGTGTTTGTCTATAAACACTGGGTTGACCTCTACCAACACATCTAGCATCCGCTAAAACGTTTTCTATACAGAAAATTTTCCATAGGCCCCGCCATAGTATTAAGACTTACAATGAACAACATAAGGCATTACTTGATATACATTTGATGTCATGGACATTCTCTGCCTATCAAAATCATTTGCAGGTGTTGGAGATCTGCTATTTTTGGGGTGTCCGGAATTTGGATCTCTTTCTCCACTCATCTACAAATGGAAATATTTACACGAGATACATCAAAACCGACATATTTCCAACTTTGACCCAGAAACGATTTTGAAAGACCCATACTTGTTTCTTATAGGTATGCTATATTAAAAGGTTAATGCTTAAACTTTGGATGTTTGATTTTCTTCTTGTTTGAGAAATTGCAGGGGATAAATGAGCATTGAACAATTATTACCAATGGTGGTGGCAACAACCAACATGTAAAAAACACTATATTGTTAAAATTATGTAATTTTCTTATCGAAAATAAAAAATAATAATTAAGGAAAGATAAATAAAATTCTCAAATAAGCCAAATAAATATGAAACATACTTGCAAGTTAAAATTATTAAACACAGTGAAACTGATTTTCAGTTAGATGATGAGAAAAGTGATATTTCCATATACTATGGGCAAATAATTTTTTCGATTTTTGGGCGTACCTAACTGCGTAAAATTTCTAAATAATTATTCTTTACTGCTTTAGTAGAGCACCTGTCTAAACAATCTTGGGGTCATATTAAACCCAGGTTGAAATACAAACTGTGATGTTGGAGGTGTATCAGGGGGGCTTCGATACGTTGCACCAGGGACGTTGGATCCTTGAGAGCAGTAACCCGTTGGAATAACCGCTGCTGGTGAATTGGCACCGTTACTACTGTGACCCGGACCAATTATAAAAGCACCCCCGGGTTGCTGCTGTTGACCTAAAACGAATTTGCCAGGGAACGCTTTTGGAATTGAATTTCGAGAACGACTATCAAATGGCTGAGGACCTTGAACAACGGAAAATAAAGTTAATAAATATAAAACTTCACATAAATTTCACTTCTAAATGAAGATAGGTGTTGAAATGTTTGTAAAAAAAATAGTTTTTTTCCTATTTTATAATAAGATTTTTCTCCCAAAATTGGAAGCTTTATCACTTATACACAAATGTAAATGTAATTGATGAAAAAACAAATACAGAATTATCGCAATTTCGGGAATACATTTATCGAAGGAGTTCGTGACCTTTACATATATTAAACGTTTTTTTTCATGTGATTAAATTTAACCCATATGTTCTTACATTTCATGTTTAATGCCACAAAACTTCTTGGCGTGACTGATCCAGCCGCACCCAAATTCATTTGCTGCATATTCTGAGCAAGTTGAACATAACCTTGATTAATATCTTCAGGTCCCGATGAACCAAATAGGGGATTGCTAGAGGATGACATGCAAATATTAGGAGTGGGCGTCCCCGGGCCGTAAGTAGGTAAGGCTTGTGGCTGAAATGCTGCAACATACATCCGCAAGGATATTATTACACAGAGTCCGTGTGTGCCTTTTAAACTTTAACGCACCTGCCGAAGAACAGGTAGCAGCGTTGTGCGCGTAAATCACAGGTGGCTGGTTTTGATAAACAATAGCAGCGTTAGGAGTAGGGGATTGGGAATAGACCATTTGAACTGACTGGTTGGGATAAACAGGCATTAAATCTGGATTTTGGGGTAGAGCTCCACATGACTGATGCATATAATTCATAGGATATACTGTCGGTACATAGGCTAAAAAGGCATTTATTATTATTTATATATTATATAGAAAATAGGAAATCTTTACCAGATTGAGTTTGCAAAGGAACTGGGAACCTTTGAGGTGTTGCAGGTCCTTGCGGGCTATTTGGATAAAAGCTGACAGGTTGTTGATTCCAAAATGACCCAGTGGGTTGACTATTGTACGAAATTGCTTGTGCAGAATTTGACACTGTACCCTCTGAGAGGTAGTAAGTACTTGATAATTCTTGATTGTTACTTTGATCCTGCTATAGGAAACTTAACATAAGCTTGTATAGGTAGATTTGCGCTCCTTATATGCATTTCATAAATGAGGGTTTATGATTTTTTTTTTTTGAAAATTGTCTTACTATAACTATATAACTATATAACCATAAAAGCTACTGTTACAAACAAACAGAATATGATTTGTAGTTTACTCTCACTATTAGTGTGTTTTGGTATAATTATAATAGCTAAATAAATTACCGTCCTCGAGTCATAATGCTGTTGTACAGGAACTCCATATGGAGTTGTGTATACAATGAAAGGTTGTTGCATAACTGGTGCACTAGCTTCCGGGGTAGGTATCCCATATGAAGAATACTGTTGCTGAAGTGGTAAATTTGCATTTTCACAAGATGAAACAACCTAAACAAGTTACAATAACAATGCTTGGATACATATGGCGATACAACCAAGATGTATTCCAACAATAGCCAAAAGTTGTCTTTTTGAAATAACCGATTAATACCTTTCGTTTTTAGTTGATATAATAACGGCCCAATTTATGTTACAAAAAATTAAACCTGGAACAGTTTTAGTTCGAAAAGAAATTTTTTGATTATTGTGAAAATTTTCTTTTTCCTTCTCAGTTAGAGCTTGCCTATAGTAACTTTCTTTAATCATGGACATTTTAAAAAGTGATTGGAAGAATGTAAAAACTGAAATTCTAGAATTTGCTAGCAGATGTTTAACTTTTCCATGACAATAAATATTAACTCATCTTTTTATGGTAACCACATAAATCTAATTCAATAAATAAACTTTACCAGTATATGCTACCTTAACATGGGGGAGTCAAGAAATTTGTTTCTAATGAATATGACAGATGTTTTCTCCGATTCAATTCTGGTAATACTTACTTGCACACACGGATAACTCCTGTTTATTTGAATTGAAGATGATGACAAAATAGGAGAGTATGGTAAACTAGGACTCGTTGCTGCACTAGCAAGGTTTGTCTTTCTAGTAGGGGATGATTTTGATGGTTTAGAATTTAATACTTTCGGTGAAGATCTTCCGACTTTTTCCCTATGTGGAGACTGATTTGGGGACAAAGATGCGTTCGTGTTTATTTCGAGTTGACTAGAATGTGATGGTTTGATAAGAAAACCTGGGGGTGGCCTGTTTGGATCGTAATGGTAAATGGTACCATCTTCGTTTTTTAACGACTTGCCTGTCTGTAACATAATATACATAATCTCATCAAACTCTATTTACAAAATTTTTACCTACAAGCGGTTATTCACACAAATTCTTCATTTCTGAGTAGCTTATGAAAAAAAGAATCATTTGAGACATCAGGTCTACGAATACATCAAATGGCAACCATGTAAACTTTAGAGCCTGTGTACTTAATTTAAATAACAAAAGAGATCTATTATTAACAAGTATTTCAAATTTTGACAGTTGAATCCGAACAGCATTAAGAATTGAAATTTGTAAGTAAACTTATATTGAGAAGACTTGTGTGAATAATCCTTCGTTATGAGTAAAAAATAAACTAAGAACTGGTACGAATAAGAGAACTTGCCTGTGGATTGATAATAATACTGCCTTTAGGAACACTTTGTATGTCTGTGACAGCCCATACAATTTGATTTTCTGGTCTGTCTGATATGATTCGATTGTGACCTTCTACACTGTTATTCAAATCCTGTCTTGCTTCGCCCAAATGGTGAGGAGTCGATGTCGGACTAGGCGTTACCGAATCTGACATCTGTGATTGTGACTTATAGCCAGAACTTGATGGGCTTAGGCGCCATGATACGGAACTAGCTCCTGAATCTGAAATGGAGTTTTATCTTGTTTATTATTAGAAAAAGCGAACGGAACCCGAAAGTAAGCATTTTTTGATACTTATCATACCAAAAATAAATGGTATTTTAAAAAAAAGTCTGTAAACTTGTTTTTTTTTGTTGCAGTGTATTAATTTTTGGAATATATTTTTGAAGTGTCATTCAAATTTGACCAAAAAATATTGATTTGATATCACGTCGGATCCAAATCCACTCATTAAATTACATAAGGTTATTTCAACACCATGTACAGTACAGCTTTCTAAAAAGCACCACATTTACTAAAGTTTATTCGGGTTTCTGAGTATTCCGAAGGACGATATCACCATTGTGGCCAAATATCAGTTTCGCGCCACAAGTAGTTCTTTTATTTTTTTAGTCATAACATAATAGTTTTTAGTAAAATAACTGAAATATCAACTGGTGCAATGCCTCAAAATTTCAAAAAAAAAAACAAAATTTCAAACCGACTACTACAGAAAAATATTGATGGTGCACATTAAAAAGTTGTACCGGAGATAAAATGATATTCTATAAAGTTCTCTGAAAATTGGGTGAAGGGAAGCGCCATTAACCTTGTTTTGTAAGAAGCCTGGGACCTGCGCTGTGCGTAGACATGACACTATCACCCCTAGTTAATCCAGATGCGTTTCCACCGTAACCTCCAAAACTAAAGCTTTTTGCTACACACGGTCTCATAGTTTCCACAGCATCTTCAGAATGCACCTGTAACGAAAATATATTGATGAATATTTGAATGGAAATACAAAAACTGCCGTTCTACCTTTAACAATCTTCTTACGTGTCTTGCTTGAAATTCCGGTGGATGTAATCGATATTTTGAAATATAGTCGCTTTCGGTACTCGACCAAGGTATCTCGGACCATGTAAACTCCTCTGATGATCCTTTGTGCATCTTCAAAGTAAATAATGAAATATTACAAGTATAAACATCCAAACAACTTTTGTCAAATACCAAACATAATATGTAACGCAACCAGTGGCAAATTTAGTTAGAAAAGTATAGCATTATTTTTTATTTCAGATTTCCTTAATTGCTTCTACACAATCTAATTATTTCTCTTTGCGTAATTCGTTTATACCTCTCTGTTAAAAATTCTTTTTCTCGCTTTCTCATATTCTTCCTCCCGTTCTTCAAAACTCTTACTTCTTCTGTTCTCACTGTTGTAACCTCGATCTGGACTTTTAAAACAGTAATCCTCTATACTGTTTGAATCCCTCTTTAAGATAGATCGCCTAGGTTCTTCCTTAAAAACGATATCGTCTTTTACATGTACTTTAAATTCTACCTCTGGTATTCTCATATTTTTTGTTTTGTTAACAACCACACATTTCCCAGAAGACTCTATATTGTGATCCATGCCGAAATAAGCGGCACAACGGTGGACCAGCATTCGTTGGTAGCTGGACATTGGCGGGAATTTGTAATGCGTTTTTCTGAAAGAAACATTTTATAAATCATGCTCCCCGGAAATAAATAACTAAAGACTCTGGGAATTGTAGACTTTAAATATGTTAAAATATTTAATGAAAAATATTTGATGGAAAATAATTGATTAATTGAATTAAATATCCCAAAAACGGCGAGACTAAATTATAGTTCCTTATTCCTATAGTTATAAATTTGCATCAATACCGAGCGAGTCTCTAACTCTAAATAAATTCAGTAAATCAGTTCGAACACATCGATTAGTATTTCAATTTTTTTCTGTAAGAATATTTTATACTGCATCCCTTAATTTGAGATATGAGATCGTCGGCTATTTTTAAAATAGAAATCTATGTAATAACCATTTTTAAAGGGTAAATCAAGTTGCACCTGGAAAATTACAATTCTCTATTCCTTGCCCATGCGACAAGTTTGATAAACACCATTTAAGTCACGAATTTGATTTGCCACGGGCGAAAAGCATTACATCCAAAAAATCCGGCAAGCTATATTTCCGGGCCACTACGATGATCATATTTTAAAGGCGCATGATTACCATTGCGCATTTTACTGCGGTCCGTAAAATTTTTGATCAGATCAGACCTCACATGTTTTGAGATTTTTGACATTTCGAATTTGGACATCAAATTCGGTTGTTTGTTGTTGGTGATTTTGCAATTTTAGAAATGTTCTGTTTATAAACATTTAATAAACAGGTATTTAAAATGGTTTTGCGTTGTTTAGTTTTTGGAATGATCATTTATGTTCATCCTAACTTCAGTTTTTGGCTGAACCAAATAATGGAAAATCCGCTCTATCGCCACAAACATGGGAACAAAACCATTCATAAATGTTTGTTTTTGTTGGCTGCCGCTTTGTACTCATTTTATGAATGCATTGTCGTGTCTACTGTAGAGACAAATGTTTTTGGCACTAGCGAATCCCAGCGGACCCAGTGCTGAATAATTGAGTGATTAAAGAAGTTGTATACTATAATTTAACTACAACCATTATTTTTTGGGTACATTTTTACAAAACATCAGGAATACATATTTTTCTACCCCCTACTCTAAAATGCCACTTTAGTCAACTTTCGTTATACATTGTCTCAAGAAACTTCGGATATTTTTGGTACTTTAGTCACGGATTTGACGGTTGACAGTTTGTCAGTTTTGACGGTGACGTCACATGTCACTTTGTGAACGTATTCCTGTTGTATCATACTAGATTGAAGTTTTAATGATAATTGGCTAAAGTTATTCACCAGATAGAAATTTTCTAAACATCTTGATTTCTGATGAATCAACGTTTATTTTAAATGGTTAGGTTGGATTAATTTTTGGAATTAGATAATATGTTTACACAAATAATAAAAAATTGATTTATCGTTAAAAAATAGTAATAAACAAATTAGGATTGAAATTCTAAAAAAGAGCGTAATTTAGAATAACAATCGGAGTATCTGAGCATATATTTCTGAAACAAAAACTTTCTTTGATTTAATGAATTTATTTCAAGTTAGAGATTTTCGCTAGATTTGACATAACTGGAAATGTAATCCAAAAGTATTGTGGACCCCACAATGGCGATACCAAATTATCATGGCATAAAATAAAAGAGTAGTGTGCAACTTACGTTTTATCTTTGGCGAGACTGACTAGTTCCTGTTCTATCCTTAACATAAGAGCTCGATCCTTTGCGTTTCTGTTAAGTGTTTCGGGTATGAAATGTTCCAAATCAATACCTGTTGAGTCCGTATATTGTTCGGAACTACTATCTAGAGGATACAAATTCAACAACAGCGCAGTTTCAGTAAAAAATATTATACACTATCTTAACAACAATATAAACATTTTATTGATATGGAATCGATACAATCATCAAGTAGCACCAAATATCTTGCACTCACCTCTTGAAAGACATGGTGAATTTGAAGAACTCTCAAAACTACCCTGTGAGGAACTTTGCTGCCTTAATTTACTTCGCACATTTGTCCTTGATACAAATAACATATTTGAACTACTGATCACGTTATTATTTATATTACTATGATTGTTATTGTTTACGCTTTTATCTCTTACGCATTTTATACAGTTCTGATTTTGGCAGTCACAGTATATATTTTTAAGACTAGTATGTATCACTTTATCTTGGTGCTGGTCCGATGGAGTATTTGCAATCTCGCAATGTTCGGAGTTAAACAGTAGCTCCGTTTGTGCGGGGTCCAACTTACTAACGTTGATGTCGTCATCTCGTGAATTGACCAGAGAACAAAACCTTAAAAAATTGATAGGGATATGACATCTTCTGTGGCGAACTAATAGAATACCGTGCGAAAAAAAAAACATCCCAAACAAAAAAAAAACATCAAAAAGTGTGCTATCGATTGCTGGCTCGGAACTAAAAGAGCACTCTTTCATGTTTTGCCGTAGACTCCATTTTTACGGAAATGTGAAATATGACATATAGAGCGTATTCAAACTCAATCGCTGTCGTTGACAAAATTGGTATTAGAATTATGATTATGGTCTGATGAATTACAATTATATTATATATATACATATATATATATATATATATATATATATATATATATATATATATATATATATATATATATATATATATATATATATATATATATATATATATATATATATATATATATATATATATATATATATATATATATATATATATATATATTCTCACGTATTGATTCACGGATGGAAAAATATGATGACACTATATTCCGGGATATCATCCGTTCGCTCGTTGAACTCCGACTGGAATCCTGCAAATCCTGCATCCGACTGGAATCCTGCAGACGTTTCGCCAAAATCTCACTTGGCATCTTCAATGCTCGCGCTCCGAAAACACTTCGAACAGTGTTATATATATATATATATATATATATATATATATATATATATATATATATATATATATATATATATATATATATATATATATATATATATATATATATATATATATATATATATATATATATATATATATATATATATATATATATATATATATATATATATATATATATATATATATATATTACTCTTCGTTATAAGCAATAAGCAAATTTCCTATTTTTATTTTTTTCCAAATGTTTATTTTAATGACTTCTATACTTAAAGAAGTATCAACTAGACAACGACTTTGTTATTTGAGGATTTAAAAATTATGTAAACACCAGTCATTAATCAACACTTGATTGGCAAAATAAACAAATATAATGACAAGAAAGCTGCAGTAACAGTCATTGCCATCAACGAACTATAGAACGAATATACTTTCTTTTATTAATTATTGAATAAAGGTACTGCCATAAGGGCGCAACTCCAGTGCTGCTGCAGGTCATGCAGCTATTCTTCCACTTCTGTTGGTATGCCTAAACCATTTCTGGAATAATTGCCCATTTTTTACTTAATTATTCTTATTGACATGATTTATATATACGTACTTATGTTTTACCCATTAAGGTGTCTTTATTTTCCGAGTTCACATTCGAATTATGACAGCAAATCAAATTGGTAAAAAAGTCGCAAATCACACAATACCTTGGAATTGCTCTCAGAGATCACGATGTTGTTGATGCCATGGAAATATTTTAAGTTAGATAAGTTGGTACGAGTTCAAGTTAGACTCAAAGTTCTCTCTGATTATGGATGATGGAGTGATACTTGCAAGGAATAATTACATCATGCGGACCTACACTATCAACTCCATCAAAGTCAATTGTAAATTAGTACTTTGTCAATATCGTAAAATTTTTGGATTTTTATCAACATAACATTACCTCCAATTTCATTTTCGTCGGTTTTGTGGCAAATAAAAAGTGTCCTTCAGTACCATTCTGACCCATTAATTGCAGTAAACATCATTTTTTGTAAAGCTTCAATTTTATAAATTGAAGAAGAAATAAAAATTTACACTCACTACAATTAATTTGTGATAGACTACCTACTTTGTGAAAATATTGAAGTGTCACCATCAAAGGGTCATATTTTAGCAAAAAACAAATGATTTCTGACAAAAACAAGATAATTTGATAATATGTTTAAAGAATAGAAATGAAGAGTGGAAATGTCAAAGGGATATGTGCCTTTTTTTAATATATTAACACGCGCCTATCGTAATAGTTGACTAACCTGCATTTGCCTTATTTTTACGAACACCGGTAATTATAATCATTGTTGTAAAATTAAATAGTTTTTCTTGATTAGCTCAAACATGTAATTTTGGCACATACGCCCTTTGGCATTTCAACGCTTCAAATATCTGCAAATCAGATAACCGTGTTAAAAATATGCAAATGACAGGAACCCATTTGGAGGGCCGTATCTCTTCAAAGCCATTAGTTTGTCAAATTTCCAAACAAAAAAGTCGTGCATGCTGATCAAAATTGAGACTGATTTTTTCGCACAAGTATCCAGTATGGCATCAATACCCTGAAGTTTGTGTGACCAACAACGTTGACGTAGACGAATCTGGATCAGTTTCGTTAAGGGACGGCAAACTATTTTGATCTCCTACAGGAGATGGACTGAATTCCAGCAATGGATTTTCATAAAGGGATGTTTCAATCGAGGGAGTTAACTTAATACAGGGCGACGTCGGATGCGTTGCCGAAGCAATGTCGTTGTCGACCCTGGTCGGCTCGCGAGGTGGAGATGGTTCTTCGCGCATGGCATGGCTGCGTCCAAGTACTTTTAATTTTGATGTGGACTGCAAATAAAACTCTTAAAGATGGGTTGAATTAATAATTAGATGATAGTAATGATTAATTTCGAGTAAATGGTCTACTATGCAACAAGTTTGACAAACGCCAACTTCATTTGGTACAATCGAAGAGATTGTTTAATAAATAAGTTGACTGAGGAAGTTTATCAACGTGTTGCATGCTATACTTTCTCGATGATCATTAGTGTTTGGGTATATTGTTGTCAAACAGTTGTCACAGATTGACGTTTGACATCAAAACTAAAAAACGTCAAAATATCGTCACTGATTTAAAGTTACCATCAACCCGTGGCAACAGTACCGCAAACCTCCGAAGTGGCTGGCGATCGCGTCCAAAAAAGCTAACGCCTTAAAGTGACTAAGCAATTATTATTAAGAATACGAATTTGTAGAAATCGTTTTCATTGTTGAAATATTGTGACGAGCGAGCCGATTGGACTGAGCGCGGCCCTGGTCCGGAGAGATACAATGTTAAAATTTAATTCTCCATGTTTATGCCTCCAGCAGTATTTGATTGTAGTGATAAGTAATTCAAACCAATGCACAGCAAAAAAGAAACAAAAATAGTTTTTACCCGCCCTCTGGACGGAGGAGTATTTGTTTGGTCTCCGTCTTTAGATTCCATAACTGTTCCGGAATCGCGTTGTTGCATGGTGTTAACTACAATTCTTCATATTGGGGTATCTGTAAATTAACACAATGTACAAATTCAACAACTGATTTTAGATTTTTTTAATGTGTTGATTCTAAAAATGCCACCAGATTTTTCTAGTTTTTGAAATACATTAGTTCTGATAAAGGACAAAGGATAAAGAAGTATATATATACGTAATGGGGAAAACAGGAATTTCCTAGTTTCTAACTATATAAATATATGGCTGAACCAATCTTCCTATACTTAAGGTTACTGACCGTACTTAATTAACTGCTCCTAATTACTTTAGTATTTACTTCTATACCTGCAACTGCCTATACTTGGTTAACCCCCACTAGAATGAATATTCAGATGGATAGTATCTATCGATAAAAAAAATCTTACTTCCGCTTTTACATATCAAGCTAAAAGCTGGTGTATTTGATTGATCTCAAATAACGCAATGTGTTCGAGATCTACAATTCACTACATCATTGAATGAGACTGAATCTACAGCTATGGTGTTCATTTGTTCAAATAATACAAAATTTTCTTAGTAATCATAAATCAGAGAACTACGTAGAATTAGCGGAAACTATCCTTTCAATTTATAATATAATAGCTAAGTAACATGAGTATTATAGTTTATAGCCACTTAGGTCGCTTTCTAGAAGAGTTAAATGAAGTACAAGGGGAAAGATTTCTATCAGAGCATTAAAACAACGGAAGATCGTGAGCAAGGATGGATGACCGACTTCTGCTGGAGCCTTCAGCGAGACACCATTCTAGGAAATCGTATACAAGACAATTTTTAAGCGGGTAATGTATGTAATAAATACTTAAATTCCATGTGTTCATGTTTTTTTAAACTGACAATAGCAATATAATAGTTTTGGTCAGTAAAACATATAAAATTTAAAAATATAAAATAATTAATAGCCTCTCTCAAAAACTAAATTTGATAGAAGAAATCTGATGGCAGATTGTTAGATAACATTGAACATATATTTTGTAAGTTCTTCGAAATTTTGGTATTGCACGAACTAACAAAGTTCGTAGGTTTGGACTTTGTTAATACGTTTTTTCTGGATGATAAAACATCGGTTTTGGTATGAATATTATGGATTGGAAAAAATATGAAGTTATTTTGGGTAATGGTTTCTAAAGGCACAACATGCCTAAAAAGTATAATTTTAAAACCACGTAATATTAAGCCGAAATAAAAAATATATAGCGTTTTTTGTTTAAGCTTCATCCTAAATTGATTGTCCACACTGTATATACTGTTGCGGACTTTTCTTTCACATTTATTTAACACTGTATATTTGAAATAAACTCATGGAGTCACAAAATAAGATGAAAACTTACAAATTTAATGTAAAACTTATCCCCCGCATCCTTGAAATCTTGATATTCTGAAATAAAAAAGAAATTGCTGTCATTAATACCTTACAATAATAAGTAAGTAATTAAACGATTAAATTGTTTTACGACTTCCACCAACAAAGAAAGTTTTGTCAATCATTTAAATATGCGTTTGATGTTCATACAATTCTATACATCGGACCCAAAAAAATGATAGAAATTAATGAAATTACTAATTTTAAAACTTTCTATCATCTTTTTCTGAGCTACTGACTGTTAGCAATTGATCGTCTGAAAAACTCTGAACTCAATCAAAATATTACAATGTAGACAATAGAACCACGAAAATTTCAATCAGGCGGAAAACAAGTGCGTCATTTTGAAATTCCACGGCAACCACCCAAAAAATACCTGTAAAGTCACAGCATGTGAGAGCGAAATTAGTTCGGTCTATCTACAGAGGCTGCCAAACTTTTAAAACCATTTGTGGGAAAAAGATATTATTATAATAAAAATGCATATTGGTCAGCATACAAGGTTTTCTGTTAAATCTTTAACATACAAATTGTTGTTTTTGAAACAAATTTTGATAAAATTGTATTTGAATATTTAAGATACAAACTTTTTTAATAAAATGAATACCAAGAAAAGGTAATTTAAAAACTCTTTAAAGAAGTTTATGCCGATTTTTTGTTATAATAAATGAAGAAAGTGCAGTAAACATCGTATTCAATGTCATATTTTCTCAAAGTTCAGGCAATCTTGTATGTATTTTTAAAGTTACACCTCGATAGGATTTTTATCTTTAAAGTTATGGAAATATCCAACTATTCCATGACAGTTCTCATAAAAAATTGTCTATTAATATCAAAGCTTGAAGTGTAACTTTAATATCTCTCAATGGATACACTGTAGGCATGGTATTCTACAAAGTTTTGGTTAGCGGTTTGTTTGAATTATAGCAGGGAGTTGTTCTTAATTATATTGTTAAAAAAAAGTCTTTATCTCTACATCTGGCAACACTGCCCAGCAAGATTCAACGACTCTATTAATTGGGATCTGGCCAATTTGATATAACATCCCCACTGTGCATGACGAATTAGGTAGGTTCAGCCAGGTGCAAATAGAAACAAAAAGTGTTAGATTAAAGTTTACGAAAAGCACACTTGAGGCAAAGCACAATAAAAATTAATCTGAAAGCAATCAATATGGTACCAAGGGGACAGTGTATGTGAACTTGGAAACTCATTGTATGCATACCATAAGCAATAGAAAATTAAATTACCTAAGAGCCTTTTCGGATTTGTTAAAAATAAAACGATAAAAAATAAAAAAGCAAACTAAGATTGATCAGAAACCCTTTGGATTGGAGCATTAATCGAAACAAAAGAATAGAGAATTTGGATTGTGGAAGTTTCTTTGAAAAATTAAGAATTTGGAACACTGGTCTTATTAACATAATAATATTAGATTCTTAATAAATATTATTAATATTTAATATTGTTTAACAAATTTTAGATTAGTTTTGGGTGGTCAATTTGCATCCGAACATCGATATGCAGTGTGTACAGTAATCATAAAATCCTTCCTTAGGCAAATATTTATTTTTCGAAAATCCTGACTTTAAAACTCACCCATCGCAAAGTTAGTAATCGCGACGCGTAAATAAGAATCACGTCGGAAAATCAGAGGTATGCATCCATACATAACCCTGTTCGACTACGAAGGACCCACTGAACTACTTTCGATGAAAAGCGTCGGAGAGTACTGAACTTGAATCGGCGTCGCGACGGCAAATGACAGGACCGGAGTTTTTCCGTTCTCTCTACTGAAAATATTCGTCACGGCCTATTTGGCAATGATGGGGTGTGTATGGCTTTTAGAGGAAGCTTATCGATTAGAATTCTCTTTATTAAATACAGCACAAATTTTATCGAGACAATGACATGACAAGATTGAGTTGGGAGCGACAAGCCGACTATGTAAGGGGGCCATGGGGTCAAGTGATGAGACATCAGCAGTCCTGAGTCTGAATTTTTCAGGATTGTAGCTAAGGGTCAGACATGAGCCTACTATATAGGGTGGCGCTAGGGACATCGAATGCCAGTTATTAAGATATCGGATTAAGATAAATCAGCAACAATCGAGCTGAACCGAATAATATTATTTCAATATTTGTGATCATACAAACTATCGTCATAATCCAACCGAATAAGAAATTAATCGAGGTGATTTTCATATAAACTGTTATCTGGTATCAGATTAGACAGACGGTTTGAGGACAATGTTTCATTTTTAAAATTTGGTAACTATTTGTTTATTATCAACTTTGGCGTGAAAAAACAGTTTTTGTAATTTGTAACTGAAGCTATGGTTCAAAAAAAAGTTTCGTACAAAAGTTCTGCCTTTTGAAAATGTACTGATCTGTGAATTGAGTAAACCAATTAATAAAAAAAAACAAGTTATGACGAAAAACTGTTTTTTTTTTAAATTTTTAATAAACAATAACAGAACATATTGAAGAAGCTGCATACCTCAACAAAATAAGCTTCTTGGGCCATACAAGAAGCCTTTAAAATTAAGTAAAAATATTCAAATATTTAACGCTCATTTAGAAAATGATAAAACATCGATTTTAAATTGTTTAAATCAAGATGATGTGATCGAAACGCCCATAACTGGAGGTGATATTTTTTGAAGAATTAAAAAAACTGGTAGTTTTACTTGGGAGTATGAAACAATTTTCCAAAATTGGTATTAAAATACCAGAAATAATCATAATTTAACTGTAATACTTTCCTTTTGTTTTAGGAGGCTATCTGATGAGGATTTAATAAAACAAAACTTTTTTGGGGTAATACGGACCTGGACGACAAACCTACCAAAGCAATCGATTTATGAGAACGCGGAGGCACGTGCTCGCTTTCTTTGGGCCAAATAATCGATTGAAAATACCGCGAAAGTTTTGAGTTTCTCAGAACTGCATGATTATTTCCATGAATGTGTCTCGTAATGCTACCAAATTACGTGGTAAAACTCGTCAAGAAAATTCTATTGGGGAATAAAAAAAAGAACGTTGTTATTTGTACGCTATCGCTATGTTAAAGGAAATTTCATTATGCAACAGGCCTCAGCTAGTAGATTACACATTAACCCTAATTCCGATCAAACAAAAGACGACACACACACACACAGCTTATATATATATATATATATATATATATATATATATATATATATATATATATATATATATATATATATATATATATATATATATATATATATATATATATATATATATATATATATATATATACTATCTCTAAACAACAAATTTAGTTCACGTTTAGTTCAGCAGTGTTTTTTTATTTATCGCGATCCATTTGATTGTTGTGAAATTCTAATTAAGCAAGAAATAATTTGGCAAATCCTGGGTTCTAATGACAATTTTGAAAATTTACATGGGACCCTACTTCGGTATAGAAGAAGTAGAAGAAGTATCAGAATAATATTTGAATTTATTTAAATAATAAAAAAAAAATTGATACAAAATCAAAATCAAATCAAATGAAAGTCAATTGACAAAATTTATTAGAATCAGAAAGAACACAGACAACTTTGAAAATTTATTTTTACTGTGTACCTACTATTCCGTGTATTTGTATGTGAAATATATATTTGATATCAGGAGAAAAAATAAAAGGTTGAAAGTGGAGCACTAATCATGTGATACTGTTAAAAGCCTTGCCGAAGGCTACGTCGGATAAAGCAGTTTAGTTAACACCGTAGTGCAGCGATAGCGATATTTATTAATTTTTTATTAATTATTTATATAATTTCCTGATTTAAAAGAAAAAGAGTCCTTCTCTGTTCGCAGGACGATTTTTAGCAGGAAAGCGTCAGGTTACATGAAAAATACGCCGGTAATTTCAGCAAAATAAAACTACAGCTGCGTTCTATTTTGAGGTCGCGGAAAAGCCGAATTGTGGGTCACGTGACTTCAGAACAGTTTTTAAACCAACCGAACTTTTTTTCTTTTTGTTTCTTTGAACTGAGCTGTGTGTATTGATTATTTTGCTACTTAAATAATAAAAATACTAAGTTCGAAACCATTGCACCTATCGTATTTACAAAAAAGAATTTAATAATTTAAACATCGAATGGGATAAAATGCAACTCTCATAACTGCTGTATTAAAGTTTTCGCCTAAAGGCTAGGGCAGAACAGAGATTTGTAAATTGTAAAATCGATGTATTGACATTAAAAATTGCCTGCGCTCACGAAATCCTTATCCTTGAACCCTGCCTTGTTCATACGAACGAAAAATGAAGTAAATCTACAGGATGGCCATGTAAACATTAAACGTACTGGAACTCTTCTCCGTATAACTGCAATTTTAATAAATATTGAAAAGTTGATTTTAGGTACTTGTTTTTCTTTCCTGATGGCATATTATTCGTATTCTGCCTAGACTTGCACGTTCCTATTATTTATTATTTATTCACGTTATTCTTTTGAACCAAGCACACCAACAATACCTTTATGATGTAATAATTATAAAATTATGATAATTGATTCCTTAAAAAAGACAAGTAAATAACAACAAATAGCAGTGTATTAACGCTTTTTTATTTTTTATTTTATAATATTTTAGGCTAGGAATAACATATCGAGATAGTAACCTATTTCGGTATGATTTCTCAACAGTTTTAAGAAAAGTTATTTTATTATTAATTTTTTATAGAGTTTTTGTAAATTTGCGGCATCAGTAAAATCCAGACATATCCGAGACAAGGTGATGATGCAATATATGTTTTTACCAATGAGAGAAAGTTTGTTAAAATCCCTTTAGTCGTTTTAATTTCCAACCCTGTTTATTAAAAAAAACCATTGTTAAATAGATTTCAGCTCGATTTCAGACAATAATAATATATAATCACAGCATTTGAGATGACGGTTACGTCCCTTGGCGAGCATCTTGGAAATCTCAAAATATTTTCCACAGTCTGCTTTTGATCATTTTGGTAATGATTTTTTTTACGGCAAA